ATAAATTTTGATTGAAAAATGTAATTAAAAATCTAAAACTGCAAAAATTGTTATTACCTAAAATTTTATGTATGTCTACTTTTTTACCAGTATGTAAAAGTTGAATACGTAATAATAATGGCTCTAAAGGAATTCGTAATATTTCAGGTACTGGTTGTGCTGAAAAGTGATATTTAAATCTGAAAAAATATTAAAAAACTTGTATTCAAAAATACAGTGTGTTAATCAAAATATTTAAGAAAAAATTATACATACTTATATGAAGTATATAAATGAATGCATACTCCAGGCATTACACGTCCAGCACGACCCTTTCTTTGTAATGCATTTGCTCGTGATACCCAGCATGTTTCTAAACTTTCCATGTTTTGGTTTGAATTAAATCTAGTTTCTTTCATTTTCCCGCTGTCAATTACAAAGACACAATCATCTATAGTAATAGACGTTTCAGCTAAATTTGTGCTTAGTACAATTTTCCTAATAACCCCAGTTTTTTTAAAAACTAAATTTTGTTCTTCATTGGGTAAGGATGAATGTAATGGTATAATAATAAGCTTTCCAGTCTTTGGTGCGAGATATTTATTGTCATTATTATAATTGAAAAAAGAATAAAAATTTACTTACTAAGATCGAACCTGTTTTAGGGTAATTATGTTCACCAAATATAATCCATTCTAATGTTGTCTCTATAAGTTCAAAATTAATTTTATTATGGTTCATGACATATAAATTCTTATGTGTCTGTCTATTGTAACCCTGATATCTACTGACAATTTGCATTAATGATAAATTTTCATCTTGAATAGATTCCCTAGGTACGGAAATAGAAGGGCCTTCAATCTCTGCAGTTTCCAAATCAATTTGCAATTGCTCCCAATCGCCTTTAATTTTACGTGTAAATTCCGAATTTTCTTCAAGTACATAATTTATTCTTTCAAATATATCTTCCAAAAATATTTGTTCTACAGGAAATGTTTTTCCCGGAATACATAAAACAGGAGCTTCTTTGAAGTATGAAGAAAAGATTTCACTTTTGAGTGTTGCACTCATAAGTATTATTTTTAAATTTGATCTCTTGGATAGTAATTCTTTTAAAAGCATCAGTAGGAAATCACTAGATAAAAAATGATACCAGTTAAATCAAAATAAACAAAGAAATACAATAGACAACTTACCTTTCTGCACTTCTTTCATGGACTTCATCTACAATAACATGTGTAACATCTGTCAATTCTGGATTCATAGAAAACCTTTGCAACAGTATTCCAGTTGTACAAAATGTTAATCTAGTTCTACTGGAAATTTTGCTTTCTAATCGTATTTGGTATCCTACTGTATTACCTGTACGTTCATTTCTTTCTGTTGCAACCCTTTCTGCTACTCCTACTGCACTTATTCTTCGAGGTTGTGTACATACTATGTTAATATGATTTTTAGATTCAGATCTATTTAAGATCCAATCATCTAATAAAAATTGTGGCACCTGCAAAATATTTATAGTTTTATATATTAATTCATTATAAGCATAAACTTATTATAATATTAGATAAGTTTATAATTACTTGTGTACTTTTACCACATCCTGTTTCACCTGAAATTATGGTAACTTGATTTTTGCATATTATTTCTAAAATTTCGCTCATTTTTGACCAGGCAGGTAACACTTTTCTAATTTTTTTCATTTTTTTATACCTGGGATTTGTTTGTTTTTCCTTAAAATTTCTTTCAATTAAATCATCTTCTTTCAATACTTCTTCCCAAGGAACATTATTCATTTTTTTCCTATGAATAGATCCTAATTCATAATGTGTAGCTATAGTTGTTTCACTTTCACTTTCTGATTGTTTTTGAAATAGTAATTCATTCTGATCTAGAAATTGTTCTTTATTTTCTACTAAATATTCTTTCATTTCATATTCATTTTCCAAGAGAGATATTATTGAAAAGATATAAGGAATTCCATCTTCAGATAATGATAATGCCTCATTGTGTAACTTTCTTCCTATTCTTAAACAACTTATTCTTGGAAATGTACCATCATTTTTATAAAAGTAAAAATATGGTGGTTCATATGGATATTTACAACCTAATAAAATATTTATAGACCAAATATAACAACATGTGTAATTTATACATTAATTGAATAACTTAATTGTAATACCTTCAGGAAATCTTATTTCTAGGGTAAAATATGGATCCTCCCTTTCTGGCATTTTTAATACCTGTGGTTGTTGATGCAAAAATTTACATTTATTTCCAAATCTACACTTCTTATGAATAAATAATCTGCAAATTTCTTTCTCCTTTTCTTTTTCTTGTTGCTGTTTAATCCTTCGAATTTCTTGCTCTACTTCATCATTTCTCACTAAATAATCCAATTTAACTTGTACATTCCAAATTTGATTTTTTATCTTGTCAGTATACATATCTCCATAAATAGACTCAAGTGCTTCTTTTTCTTCATGCCGTTTTTCTAATAAATCCACTGTATCAATATCAGGTATTTTCTTTCTTGAAACATTTTCTAATCCATAATATTTATAAAACAGTACTTCTAAAGCTTTTCCAACATCACCTTTTGTATGCACCAATGCTTCAATACAATGTGATTGATGAAAACTAGAAAAATATATCATTATTTATGATTTACATTGTCATTGCTAAAAATTTAATTTTGATTATTTAACACTTACCCATAACTTTCAAGTTTAGATGTTGCAAATTGTCTAGCGATTTGTTCCTCAGTTTTATGTGTACTGTCTTTAGAAGAATAATCAACAATTCCTTTAATGACTAAATTACCCCTTTCCATCCAATATTGTTTCCCTAAATTTGATCTTTTATTTTCATATTCTGATGCATCAGAAAGTTTAAAATTCTGTCAAAAAACTATGTTACTTTCCAATAACATACTATAAGAAATATATGTATAATATTGAATTAATAAATGTCAATGGATACATACAGAACCATAAATATGTTTCAATGTATTATAAAGTTGCTGCTCAGATTCTTCTGATATTGTTAAGGTTTGCAGTTCTACTTTAAGTTTGTTTGAAATACAAGGACTTTCACCCTTACTTTTATTTTTCGTTGATAAATTCCTGGTAGGTATATATGAATTTTTTCAGTTTGAAGTTATATTGTAAAATGGGCATTGTACAAAAAGTAATTATGTCATATCAAAATGTTTTAAACAATAACAAAATTAATTTAAATATCATTTTCTTATATAAAAAAAAAAATGACAATATATTAGAAATACATTCTCAACTATTTTAATTTTATTGTATAAAATGTTAAATTTTTAACTTACGTGACGGGTTTTTCCATATTTTTTCCTTCTAATGTAATATCTTCCATTAATTGAATACTAGCCGAATCCATTGTTTAAAATTATATATTATAATTGAAAAAAGAATAAAAATTTACTTACTAAGATCGAACCTGTTTTAGGGTAATTATGTTCACCAAATATAATCCATTCTAATGTTGTCTCTATAAGTTCAAAATTAATTTTATTATGGTTCATGACATATAAATTCTTATGTGTCTGTCTATTGTAACCCTGATATCTACTGACAATTTGCATTAATGATAAATTTTCATCTTGAATAGATTCCCTAGGTACGGAAATAGAAGGGCCTTCAATCTCTGCAGTTTCCAAATCAATTTGCAATTGCTCCCAATCGCCTTTAATTTTACGTGTAAATTCCGAATTTTCTTCAAGTACATAATTTATTCTTTCAAATATATCTTCCAAAAATATTTGTTCTACAGGAAATGTTTTTCCCGGAATACATAAAACAGGAGCTTCTTTGAAGTATGAAGAAAAGATTTCACTTTTGAGTGTTGCACTCATAAGTATTATTTTTAAATTTGATCTCTTGGATAGTAATTCTTTTAAAAGCATCAGTAGGAAATCACTAGATAAAAAATGATACCAGTTAAATCAAAATAAACAAAGAAATACAATAGACAACTTACCTTTCTGCACTTCTTTCATGGACTTCATCTACAATAACATGTGTAACATCTGTCAATTCTGGATTCATAGAAAACCTTTGCAACAGTATTCCAGTTGTACAAAATGTTAATCTAGTTCTACTGGAAATTTTGCTTTCTAATCGTATTTGGTATCCTACTGTATTACCTGTACGTTCATTTCTTTCTGTTGCAACCCTTTCTGCTACTCCTACTGCACTTATTCTTCGAGGTTGTGTACATACTATGTTAATATGATTTTTAGATTCAGATCTATTTAAGATCCAATCATCTAATAAAAATTGTGGCACCTGCAAAATATTTATAGTTTTATATATTAATTCATTATAAGCATAAACTTATTATAATATTAGATAAGTTTATAATTACTTGTGTACTTTTACCACATCCTGTTTCACCTGAAATTATGGTAACTTGATTTTTGCATATTATTTCTAAAATTTCGCTCATTTTTGACCAGGCAGGTAACACTTTTCTAATTTTTTTCATTTTTTTATACCTGGGATTTGTTTGTTTTTCCTTAAAATTTCTTTCAATTAAATCATCTTCTTTCAATACTTCTTCCCAAGGAACATTATTCATTTTTTTCCTATGAATAGATCCTAATTCATAATGTGTAGCTATAGTTGTTTCACTTTCACTTTCTGATTGTTTTTGAAATAGTAATTCATTCTGATCTAGAAATTGTTCTTTATTTTCTACTAAATATTCTTTCATTTCATATTCATTTTCCAAGAGAGATATTATTGAAAAGATATAAGGAATTCCATCTTCAGATAATGATAATGCCTCATTGTGTAACTTTCTTCCTATTCTTAAACAACTTATTCTTGGAAATGTACCATCATTTTTATAAAAGTAAAAATATGGTGGTTCATATGGATATTTACAACCTAATAAAATATTTATAGACCAAATATAACAACATGTGTAATTTATACATTAATTGAATAACTTAATTGTAATACCTTCAGGAAATCTTATTTCTAGGGTAAAATATGGATCCTCCCTTTCTGGCATTTTTAATACCTGTGGTTGTTGATGCAAAAATTTACATTTATTTCCAAATCTACACTTCTTATGAATAAATAATCTGCAAATTTCTTTCTCCTTTTCTTTTTCTTGTTGCTGTTTAATCCTTCGAATTTCTTGCTCTACTTCATCATTTCTCACTAAATAATCCAATTTAACTTGTACATTCCAAATTTGATTTTTTATCTTGTCAGTATACATATCTCCATAAATAGACTCAAGTGCTTCTTTTTCTTCATGCCGTTTTTCTAATAAATCCACTGTATCAATATCAGGTATTTTCTTTCTTGAAACATTTTCTAATCCATAATATTTATAAAACAGTACTTCTAAAGCTTTTCCAACATCACCTTTTGTATGCACCAATGCTTCAATACAATGTGATTGATGAAAACTAGAAAAATATATCATTATTTATGATTTACATTGTCATTGCTAAAAATTTAATTTTGATTATTTAACACTTACCCATAACTTTCAAGTTTAGATGTTGCAAATTGTCTAGCGATTTGTTCCTCAGTTTTATGTGTACTGTCTTTAGAAGAATAATCAACAATTCCTTTAATGACTAAATTACCCCTTTCCATCCAATATTGTTTCCCTAAATTTGATCTTTTATTTTCATATTCTGATGCATCAGAAAGTTTAAAATTCTGTCAAAAAACTATGTTACTTTCCAATAACATACTATAAGAAATATATGTATAATATTGAATTAATAAATGTCAATGGATACATACAGAACCATAAATATGTTTCAATGTATTATAAAGTTGCTGCTCAGATTCTTCTGATATTGTTAAGGTTTGCAGTTCTACTTTAAGTTTGTTTGAAATACAAGGACTTTCACCCTTACTTTTATTTTTCGTTGATAAATTCCTGGTAGGTATATATGAATTTTTTCAGTTTGAAGTTATATTGTAAAATGGGCATTGTACAAAAAGTAATTATGTCATATCAAAATGTTTTAAACAATAACAAAATAAATTTTAATATCAGTTTCTTATATAAAAAAAAAAATGACAATATATTAGAAATACATTCTCAACTATTTTAATTTTATTGTATAAAATGTTAAATTTTTAACTTACGTGACGGGTTTTTCCATATTTTTTCCTTCTAATGTAATATCTTCCATTAATTGAATACTAGCCGAATCCATTGTTTAAAATTATAAGCAAATAAGTTTTATATAAATTAATTTAGAAAGTTTTTTTAACCCTGGGTATACTGTGCCGGAGTCACTGGTGAACCGCCGTCTTGAAAGCGATAACGCACACAGTGACAAAACTGTTCGTGTTACTTACAAAATGACAATTGCCTTAGCATTACCACTACAAGTCCATAACGAGAAGTGTTACCAAACACGGGACGTTCGGTTTCTTTAGATCTCACTCAACACAGCGGCAAATGAACCAATGCATAGAAATAAAACACTTGCGCTCGGCTTTTCTTCAGCTCGCAAAGATATAAAATATAAATCCCGTTCTAGTTTCTTACAAAGCCTTGTAGGTGAAAGATGTATCCGAGGAATCCAAAAATTTATTCTGTACAAAAGTCTATTTTTTATTGTTTTTGTTATTTTTGTTGTTTGGTTTTTACACCATGTCAGTACTGCCAAGTACCAGCGAGCAATCTTTGTTGTTCAATTTGTCGAAGCCAAAGACGAACACGCATTCAACACAAAAAAAGACAATTATATGTTATGCTTGTACCAATAATATGAATGGCTACAATAAATATAATTTTTATATAATTCTTGATTCTTTCCTAAATGTGATCCCGACCAAGTTCCAGCCACCGTCATGTGTTTGTATAATATCAGTGAGGAGTTCGAGCGATTGTGAATTAGTGTGAAATATCGGTGTGAATCAAAAATGACTACGGTATAGGACCAATTAATATAGACTTCAATATTTGAGAAATGTTAAGGTTAGGAAATTGTGGACATATAATTGTAAGTAGCTAAAAATATATGAATGAACGTATATTCGTACTTAAACATATACTACCACCAATTTTAGTGAATATGTTATGCCATTTTTTGATTTATTTAATTAAATAAGTAGTTTATTAAAATCGAATTACTTGCAATTTTATTGTTTCATCATTTTCAAAAATAATATTAACAAGGAAAAAAATAAATATAAATTTATCGTTACATATATTATTCAAATGATTCATAATTTATTTTCAAGTTGATAAATAAGTGCTTTATTATAACCGCAAAGTAGTAAAAGATTTCCTCCAGGATGCCATCGAGCATCTAATACTACAATATTTCGTGGAGTTGGTATACAATTCGCGCTATGTGGTGTCCATTCAAACATGTGCGCACATTCGCAAAATATTAGAAGTTGAGCTCGTGTAGGATTCCATTTTGCAGCTGAATAAAAACTGTTTATATAATACAATATTTTGTATAAAAATAAGTTGAAATAGGCTAATTATTAAAGTACTTACCTACGATAGCATTTTCGAGGAGTAAATAATCGAAATAATCTTCAGTAATATTCCATATCCATAATGTCGTAGGATAAAGTTGATGTTTTATAGCCAAATATTTTCCACAAAAACTAAATTCTAAAATATCAAATTTAGCAATTGACAATCTGTCTATATCATCCTTCCTTCCAATTTTTATATTTATCGGTCGTTCCGATTTTTCTTCCACTGTAAATATCAATCTTTTAATATTGTTAATACTTATATAAATTAATTTAAAAAAATTACTTACAAATATGTTTATTGTAAAAGTTTGTATTTTTACTAGAAAGTTTGGGTTGAATTATGCGTTCTTCATACACTTTGTTCAAATAATTTTCTTTAATTACTGGTTCAAGATACAATTGTAGAAATGATTTCCAAGTTACATGATTTAACAATACAATCTAAAATGCAAACGATTGTATTGGAATATTGCTATACAAAAGTTTACAGTTAAAATAAAAGTATAGTTAATACCATTTCATTAAACCCTGTTACAGTTAATAACTGTCCACTGGGCATCCATGTTACATTTTCGATTCCTTTTAATTCTTTGTCATTAGTGTATCCTATTTCAGATGAATCTATACTTTGTGCAGGATTAAATATTGCAACATCTTTCTCTAATATGTTAGAATAAATAATTAACTTTGTTTCGCTACTAAACGAACACCATATACATAATAATTCACTATTTGGTGACCAACATATTCCATCAATACTATTTAAACGTCCGCATATTAATTTCTAAAAATTTTAATACGTTAAAAGATATAAATTGTATTACTAAATATTATTGCATAATTTGTTTTACAAATGTCATTATGAAAACATAATTCATTCATATTAATTTTAGTGACTTTGTAATAAAAATGTAAAATATTTTTATGACAAACTGCGTAATATTTATAGAAAAATGACATTTTTTTATAAGTAAATCAAAAAAGTTACAAAGTTGGACATAAAAAAAATTTATGGTGGAAATTTAAATCAAGTCAATGTCTAGTAACTTTTATTTTAAGAAGTTTTAAAAATGTAGAAGAACCGCGTACGGCCTGCACTTGTTTATAGCTTGTGAGGTTAAATTAGTGTTTTGATAATTAATTTACTCATTATCGATTAGTTAATAAAATATGACAGCAACTTATGTGTCATGTGCCTGCAACCGAGTTCCACATTCAGTTGATTGGGGAAACAATGGACTTGTTTGTTTTGCAGTATGTCATGCAGTTGCAATTTATGATCCATTTATATCAAAAATTGGAAAGGTAACAAACACGCTTCATCGACATCGAGAACGCATTAATACTGTACGATGGATCAAACGAACACAATCGAAAGCTGAATCAGAGTTATTGTCAAGCTCTGTAGATGGAACTGCTATTATTTGGAGTAAGCTGAATGAATATTTTGAATGTAGTTCTGTCATAGAAGTTGGTGATATTCTTACATTTAGTAATTCATTGTATCTTACTGATGACGATTTACAAAATGATGAAATATTTTCTAAATTGTTAATATGCACTGGATCAATTAAAGGAGATTTACAAATATGGTTGAGAAATACAAGTGGTGACATAAAATGTTTACAGACACTTACATTTGGAGAAAAGTTACCAATAGAAGCTTGTTTCTCTTTTCTGCCAAATACAAATTTACCGCTTTTAGCTGTTGCAATAGAAAATTCAACAATTGAATTATATGTAATCAACTCTAATGTTATAAAATTACATTTTACAAGAGTTCAAATTTTAGTTGGACATGAAGATTGGGTGCGATGTATGGATTTTAATTGTGATACAGATAATAGTCTTTTACTTGCAAGTGGATCTCAAGATGCTATGATACGTTTATGGAAAATTTGTGCAAATGATACAAAATTCTCAAGTAATGAATTACATCAAAAAGAACAAGTGTTTATAGTTGATAGCATAAAATATAATGTTACTTTGGAATCTGTTCTTTATGGCCATGAAAGCTGGATTTATGGCATACATTGGTATCCATTACAACTGAATAATAAAAATAGAATTTTAAGATTATTATCTTGTTCATTAGACAAATCTATGATTATATGGGAACCAGATGAAATAACTGGAATTTGGTCTGAAAAAGTAAGAGTAGGAGAAGTTGGTGGTAATTTAATGGGCTTTTATGGCTGTAAATTTAGTTATAATGGATTAAACATATTAGCACATGGTTATCAAGGTTCATTTCACATTTGGGAATATTCAAATACTGCAAAAAATTGGATTCCAAAATCTGTACCAAGTGGTCATTTTGCTGAAGTGGTTGATCTTTGTTGGGATCCAAATGGAAGGTTTGTTTTCAAAATTGTGTAGGCTAATCTATTTCATGAAAAAATGTACAGCATTTTATATTGCATTGCAGGTTTCTTATTACTGCAAGTACAGATCAAACAACAAGAATTCATGCACCTTGGAAAAATGGAACCACAGAATTTTGGCATGAAATTGGCCGTCCCCAGGTTCATGGATATAATATTTCTTGTTTAGTTATGTTAACTCCTTACATGTTTGCTTCAGGAGCAGAAGAAAAAGTTGTACGTATATTTACAGCTCCAACAACATTTAAAAATTGTTTAAAGAAAATTGCCAATGTTGATGACTTTAAAAATATGGTGGCTGACAGTGCAGCAGTACCTGCCCTTGGACTAACAAATAAAGCAACATTTAATGATAACAAAATTGAAGTTGATAGTTTTAAAAATGAGGATTATATTCCTCCAACAGAAGAAGAGTTAATGCAACATACATTATGGCCAGAATTACAAAAACTTTATGGTCATGGATATGAAATATTCTCCATAACTGCCAGACATGATGGATTATTATTGGCAACTGCATGTAAATCAGCATCACGAGAACATTCTGCAATATTATTATGGAATACAAATACATGGACACAAGTACAAAAGCTTACATCTCATCAATTAACTGTAACACAAATGGAATTTTCACCCAATGACAAATATCTAGTATCTGTTTCTAGAGATAGAAGATGGTCATTGTTTGAATGTAAAGATAATGTGTATACCTTAATTGCTACTTCAAAAAAAGATAGTCTTCATACTCGCATAATATGGTGTTGTTCATGGACACATGATTCATCTTTTTTTGCAACTGGTTCCAGAGATGGAAAAATTGGAATTTGGAATCCAAACTTTACAGCTGACAATATTGTTCCTACTACAAGTTTAGATGTAAAACATTCTGTTACAGCACTTGTGTTTTCATTGCAGAATATTTCTGAACATTCTTATGTTTTGGCAATAGGATTTGAAAGAGGGTATATAGAAATACAGAAATTAAGTGTATTCACTAATAATTGTGAATGGGAAAGGCATGTAGTATATGATTCTTCTAAAGCACATCACTTAACTGTAAAAAGACTTAAATTTCGACCACAAAACGAATATTCAAATATTTTACAATTAGCAAGCTGTGGATGTGACCATATTGTTAAAGTGTATGATATAGATATTTTAAAATTAAGAGACTTGTAAAATATTTTTTACTTTGACATAATAAAACTTTAACCTTAATTATAAGTTTCAATTATGTTAATTTAATTACTCACTTTATTTAGTTTCCATGTATCAGTCTTATAAATTTCTATATTATCCTCACCTTCAATTGAAATTACTACTGCTAGTTTATTACCATTTGGACTAAAGTATAATTTATGAAAAGAGGATTTCACATTTTGTATGTGAGTTACATTACTTATTTAATATCAAGAAAATTTATTTACTTACATTAAAATCTGATAATGTCAAAATATATTTACTATCAGGAGACCAACTAACACTTTCTAAACCAGCACTTCCTTCAATCAATTTATATTTCCATTTAGGATAGTGAATAGAATATACTTGAATAATAGCTTTCTTTATATTTACACATAAAATAAATTCGCTACTTCTAGACCATTCTAAATACTGTGATAAAGTGAAAGATAAATTTTTATGTTATAAGCTTCATTTTGTTTATTCGCTTCGTATTAAATAATTGTAAGAGTTAATAACTATTCATTGCTAATGTATACACTAACCTCGATTATGTCTGTAAATATGAATGAATAAACAGTGTCAAATTTTTTAGTACTTTTTATCAATAAATTTGTTTGATATGCAATTGCAAAATATCTTCCATCCTTAGAAAAGTCACATAACTGATTATTTACTCGTATTAAATCACATTCTACTTCTAATGACATCGCGCCACCGTTAAATCTACCGTCTTATTTTTAAATTTCGCCAACATACGCAAGTCTAATATGATTTGTAAGAAAAATTATTTTAGGAATAACAAATTATTGTATATAGTTTAATAAATAAGGTAGTAACAAAATTTAATATAAACTTTTATAAAATCTTTAATAATTAATATTTT